TTAGGATACATTTTCCAATTCAAAATGAAAAGAGGCTTCCTATGGAAGTGATTGGCTCTCCTTTGCTGTGCGGTGTTTCGGTTAGAGCAAGATCCCTTTCAGCTCTATTGCACTAAATTATGGTGAAAGAAAGACTATGCAGCAGGTATGTTTGGACAGACAGAAAGCTACTATTTCAGTTCCAGTTCCTAGTTCACTGGTGTGTTTGAGAGCTGTTAGGACTCCAATATGCCATGGCATGGCCTTTTTAATCCAAACTGATCTCAAAGCTTCCCAAATGTCAGTTCTGTATTAATGCTGCTTCTTTCCCTCAGACTGGGAACGATTGTTACATATCTTCTTTGAGAAAAAGCATGGCAGTGGGCCACAAAGGCAAGGACTTGCCCTTCTATACTAGATAAGACTGGAACCTCTATTCCAGGAGTGTAGGACCCAGGCTCCTCCAGACATTCAGTTTCCACAGACTTCAAATTCCACCTAGCCTATCCAACACAGCCACCAGCCAGGGATAACAGATGTGGCCCAGCAACATCTGGGAAGCCATAGATCCTCACCTTTCTGATACTGAGTTTCTGGTTAAATTGTGTCAAGTTATCTGCTGTCATCGAGAGACAAATCCCCTCCCGCAACATCCTTTTATGACTGCTGATGGTTTTCCTGATTGAGTCCACTGTAATGCAGTCTTTGTCTTGTTCTTCTCTCTTCCATTTTACCAAGCATTGTGGTCAGCCACCCGTATCGACAGATTACACTATATGACAAAATTTGAAAAAAAAAATCTGTTCCTGGTTTGAAAGTATTATTTTCTGTTTAATTGTTCAGTAATTTCTTTTAAAGTAGCTGTCATATGGCAGAAACCTCATTTTTGTGGCTGCCACAAACTGGGTTGAATTGGTTATGACTCTATGAGATATTAATTGAAAAACTATAGCAAAATGTGCTGCAGGATGTCCCGCAAAAACAAAATGTTTGGAGTTTAATAAACCTTTTTCTTATTCTTATGATAGAACCAATTAAGAAATAACATTTATAACCTAGGAACAAAAATCGTGTTACATAATGTTAAGCATTCATAGATTCTACTATCCATGGCTCATTTTTTTTAAATAAAGCTTGATACTGCGATTTTATATAAGACACATCATTTTAATATACCATTTTATACAATGAGACTTGAGTATCCAGATTTTGGTTTCCACAGGGTGCCCTGGAACCAAAGTCCAATGGATACTGAAGGCCTGCTGTACTATGAGATATTTCCTAAGGAATCACATCTTCTCGTGATATCCCCAAAATAGGATAGTTTCAGTTGGTCATTTTCACTTTTATGGAGATTTCAGTTTGTTATGTGCTACCAAATCATTTTCAAGTTTTGGTGATCCTATCATGGGATTTTCTTGAAAAGATATATGGGGTGGGGGGGGGGGTTGCTTTTGTCTCCCACTTTGGGAGAGTGATTTGCCCAAGGCCACTCAATGATTTTCCTTGGCCAAATGTGAACTCAAATTCTGGTTTCCAGAGTTGTAGTCCAATAAACTAACCACACTACACTGGCTCTCTGATGTGCATGAGGATACATCATGTGTGCAGTCCACATTCTGCACTGAACTCTGCTCCAGCATCAAATTACAAATGAGTTTCCAAATACAATATACTCTTGGTATGCTCCTAAACATTGAGAGATGAGCTGAGGACAGATACATTAATGGAATAACTATGTAAAGATGTAAGGTTCATTTCAGAAAGTGAAGTGGAAATTGCACTCAAAACACTTGGGAGAAATCAATGATCAGGGACATATACCAATAGAGCTGCTGCAAGTTACTGGGGCAGATCTGACTCTAGTTCTAACAACAATCTCTCCATATGGAAAACAAAAATGGTCCAGATTGGAAACACTCAATATGCATGCCAGCCACATGACCTTGAAGGCATCTACGGACAATGCAGGCTCTTCAGCTTAGAAATGGAGATGAGCATTTTGGATCATCCGCTGATTTTTCAATCCTGGCCTTAATGGCATTGGTTCGGATGGCTTGGTCCTGGGCTGCAAGAATCAGGCCTTCTGTCTCCTTCTTCAGTGATCCATTCGTGAGCCATAACCAGGTCTTCTCCCTGTCAACTTTTCTTTCAATTTTGTCAAGGAAGTGCCCGTGCAATGCTTTGTTGTGCCAGCTGTCAGCTCTGGCTTGTAGTGCAGTTTTCTTGTACTGTTTCTTTGTCTGCTGTACTTTGAGATGTTTCCAATTATTGACTTCAATTAAAGCAGGTTCTTGGCTTTCCTTTCCATATTCTGCCAGGGCATGTTTTTCTTCTTTGACTGCTTTTTTTACTTGTAAAAGTCCTCTGCCACCAGACTTTCTAGGCAGATAGAGCCTATTATTATTATTATTATTATTATTATTATTATTATTATATTATTTTACTGACACAAAAGCACAGTATGTCATAGCAAATGAGATCTATATGCTGGATTTCATATCACAAAATCACAAGTCGAACACTTCCTTATCAATGAAGACAGCAGATATCTTGCCTCCCCTATGGCATAACCAACTTAGAGGTTCCCATTCATCGTAGGGCTCTCACCCTGGCTCGATGCCACGCTCTCCCATCAGCTGTACTCGAAGGCTGCTACCAGAAGATCCCTTTCCCAGAGAGACTCTGCCCCTGTGACTCGGGTCAAGTAGAAACAATAGAACATGTGCTCCTCCAGTGCCCGTTCTACAGGGATATCCGTGCCAGGCTTATCTTACCTCTGTTATACAAGCACCCAGGCCATTCAGGACAATTTTATACCTCCATGCTACTTGCAGATATTAATTCAGCTACAACCTACAATGTTGCAAAGTTCTGTGCAGCAGCATACAAAATCCGTCAGGGAATGACTAGTCCCAAAAGTTAACTGTGTGTCCAGTAATCTTCTTCTCTGAATCTACAATTTGGTGATGGATCTGGGCATTGTATGTTTTTACCCTGTTTCCCCTTCCCTTCTGCTCCCTCACCCATATTGTGCTTCAGTAGTTATATTTATATTTTTAATGTACCAAACATACCAAGTTTGTATGATAATGTGACTATTTCCTGTGCTGGTCAATGACCGAAATAAATGATTTGAACTTTGAAGTCGAACACTTCCCAAGCGTCTAGGACTGTGTGATGTATTTTTGAATGATGCACGCAGATCCAAGTAAGGTGGCCTTTTGCAATTGACAGATCGTGATTTTGTCAATGTTTATTGTTTCCAAATGCTGGCTGAGATCTTTTGGCATAGCACCCAGTGTGCCGATGACCACTGGGACCTCCTATGCTGGTTGGTGCCAGAGGCTTTGCAGTTCAATTTTGAGGTCTTGATAGTGGCTGAGTTTTTCCTGTTGTTTTTCCTCAATGCGGCTGTCACCTGGTATGGCGACATCAATAATCCAGACTTTTTTCTTTTCCACAATTGTGATGTCTGGTGTATTGTGTTCCAAAACTTTGTCAGTCTGGATTCGAAAGTCCCACAGTATTTTGCATGTTCATTTTACATGACCTTTGTGGGCTTATGATCCCACAAATCAGGCCGGGGGGGGGGGCTTGAGGGGCTTCAGCCCCCCCCCCCCCCAATTCTCATGGTGGACTAAACTTCTGCTATGATGTTGAGGAAAAGGTTATTATTATTAATTATTATTATTATTATTAACTTTATTTGTACCCCGCTAGCATCTCCCGAAGGACTCGATGCGGCTTACACAGGCCGAAGCCACAAAACACAATATAATAGAAACAGACATCACAAAAGCAGAACAAATCAAACAATAGCAAAATAACAACAATAGCAGTACATCAAGACATTATTAAAACTGGTTCGGCCGGCGCACTGGGTACAAGGGATTAAAAGTGCTGAAATGGCAGGAGGCACGTAGGATTTCAAGTGCGGTGTGCAGTAACGATTTGTTATGCTAAGGTGCTATTTGGACTTGGGGTGGGGATTCCTAATCTGAGAAAGCACAACGGAACAGCCAAGTTTTTAAATTCCTTCTGAAAACGGCTAGAGTAGGGGCCTGTCTGAGATCTTTTGGGAGGGCGTTCCAAAGTCGGGGGGCCGCCACAGAAAAGGCCCTGTCCCGTGTCCCCACCAAGCGCACTTGCGACATAGGTGGGATCACGAGCAGGGCCTCTCCAGATGACCGGAGCGAGCGTGTGGGTTCGTAGATAGTGATGCGGTCACGCAGGTAGGGTGGTCCCAAACCGTTTAGGGCTTTGTTGAGTATCTCATATCATGAACTGATCACCATGCTCAATATATCCCATATGCATGGGGGTATTGGGGTAATGATACAAAAGGTTTGCTAGGGTAGACCTTCTTTCACTCAGACTCAGCCCCCCCCCCCCCCGAAACAAAATCCTGGCTACAGGCCTGCCACCAATTCTTTGCTGTTGGTAGGTGGTACTTGTGACATAAGTTCCAGTGAATCATCTGAGCCACAGAGTTGTGCCTCTGTTTGTAGTCCGTCTGTGTGATGATGGTGATGATGATGATGATGATGATGATTATTATTATTATTATTATTATTATATCAAGGTAATTCTTTCTTGGAATATTTCCAAGCTGCGTATGGTGGGGGACTGAATTCGTGGATACGGAGGTTGGGCTGCAATTCAATCCAGGGCAACTCACAGGGACAGGTATCATTCCAACACACTGTTTTGGCTGCCCTTGTAACCGTGGAATTAGGAAAGGCTGCGCTTTGCCACTCTGGCTGCGGCTGGTGAGGAGACCCCCAGGGAGAGAGCAAGGCTTTCTGCCTGGCCGCCCGCCTGCCTGCTTCCCTCCCTCCTTTCCCCTCGCCCCTCCCTCCCTGGGGCCGGCTCTTCCCTCCGCTTCGCCTCCTCCCGCTCCCGCGGCTGCCCCGCCTTCCCGACGCCACGGCTGCCTGGCCAATGAGTGGGCCGCTCCATGGGGGGGGGGGAGAACAACAAGGAAGCGGGGCGAACCAATGGGCGGGGAGAGAGCGGAGGAGCCAGCCCCCCCCCCCCCCCCCCCCCGCTTGCTTTCCCATTAGACTTCGCCGGAGCCCCGCGGCCGGGAGGAGGGAGATGCGGCGCGAGCTCCTCTGCGTTGCAGGTAAAGCTGTGTCCGGGGGGCGGGACGGGGGTCGCGCGGGACCCCAAGGCTCTGCGGCAGGAGGCGCGCCACGCGCTCCCCAGACAAAAGCCAGGAGCGAACAAAAGGGGAGAGGGAGGGACGCCTGGATCCAGGCTCAGGCACTTCGGAAGGAGTCCCTTTGTCATCTCAACTACTCTCTCTTCTTCTTCTTCTGCTCCTTCTCCTCTGCAAGAGTTGGCTGGCGTGGCCCCGTCCCTCGGATCCCCTTCAGTCTCACTCCAGAGGGGGTGCCTTCACCCCCTGCGCTCTGCTCCGCTTGAGGGGTGGGGCTGGGCATCTTGGTGGGCTTCACGCCTTGTCAAAGGGAGGGAGGTGGGAGATGCAGCCCGGAAACTCTTCAAAGCCCCTACTCCCGTGTAAGCGTGGCTTGGGTGCCAATGAAAAGAATCGCTCCAAGGGCGCAACGGGCACAGTCCCTGGTTTTGGGGCGTCTCTGGTTTCTTCCAAGGAGAAAGCAAGAGAGCCTGGTTCAAGAGCAGGTTTGAACTCACAAGCGATGATCAACCAGACTCGGCAGGGAAAGCGCTGCTGTTCATTAAGGTCCCCCTGCAGCCTACTTTATGAATGGTTTTCATCTTCAGCCGCTTTCCAGGAAAGTGCTGGCTGGCAAAAATCTTTATAGTGGATCTTCCATCTTTCTTCCCAGATTGTGAGGAGGAGCAAGCGGTAGGAACACATCCAGGAGGTTTTGGGAGTTTCAGAAAGTGGGGGCCCTTCCACACAGCTCTATATCTCAGAATATCAAGGCAGAAAATCCCACATTAGCTGAATGTGCACTCAGATAACTCAGTTCAAAGCAGGTAAAGGTTTTCCCCTGACATTAAGTCCAGTCCTGTCCAACTCTGGTGAATGGTGCTCATCTCCATTTCTAAGCCAAAGAGCCAGCTTGTCCATAGACACCTCCAAGGTCACGTAGACGGCATGACTGCACGTAGCACCATTACCTTCCTGCCGGACTGGTACCTATTGATCTACTCACATTTGCATGTTTTCGAACTGCTAGGTAGGGAGAAGCTGGGCCTAACAGCAGGAATTCAACTCACTCCCCAGATTCAGCAAGTTCGGCAGCTCAGCAATTTAACCCACTGTGCCATCGGGGACAGATATTGTGGGATTTTTTGCCTTGATATTCTGGGATATAGGGCTGTGTGGAAGGGCCCTGGGATGCATGATCCTTTCCTTGTTAAAAGCTCTTGGGAAAGAATTAGTCGTAACCCACAGGCAGGTTAGAAATAAAGTTTTGCTGAGTGTGATGTAGTGGTTTGAGTGCTGGACTGCAGTTCTGGAGACCAGGGTTTGAATGCGGCCTCTGTCACTGAGATCTCCCGAGTGACCTTGGGTATGTCACACTCTCTCAGCTTCAGGAGAAGGAGAAGGCCAAGGCGTCCATGTCCCACACTTTTTGCAAATGAAACCCTGTACTATGTTCTGCCATAAGTCGGAATTTCTGGGAGTTGAAGGCCAAAACATCTCAGAACCTCTGGCAATTCCTGTCATAGATGTGGGTGAAACATCAGGAGAGAATGTTTCTGGAACATGACAATACAGCTCAGAAACTCACAGCAACCCAGTTTAAACAAATGTATGGACAATGGAGAGAGAGAGAGAAAGATCCCCTCTGGATTGTTTTAGAAAAGAGGCACTCATATCTATTATCTGGTCTATGGGATCTGTGCAGGACACTTTATAGCTCTCATCTTTGTGTTTGGGTTTTAGTTCCTCCAATCACCATTTTGCCGTTTTCATTCATTAGATTGGTTTTCAGACATCAAGGGAATGGTTTATTAGCATACTGCCAAGGAGGTTCCTGTTACCTCTAGTATGCCACTTCATGTATTATTAATTTCTGCCACCATAAGGGACATTGCTATAGTAACCAGGACTCAGTTTTGAACTGAATTAATACCTGCATGAGAGAACTAGGGGCCCTTCTACACAGCCATTTAACCCAGAATATCAAAGAAGAAAATCCCAAAATATGTGGTTTGAACTGGGATAGCTGAGTCCACACTGTCGTATATTCCAATTCAAAGCAGATAATGTGGGATTTTATTCAGCTGTGTGGAAGGGGCCTTTGTCTGGTTTGTATTTCTGACACAGCTTTTTTGTTTGTTTGTTTGTTTTTTGTTTAGGTAGGACCTGGAATGCTTTCCTTATTATTGATGTGTCGCTCTCAAGCCAGTTCCTAGAAATCCATTAATGACTATTGCCTTCCTTTCTTTTTTTTAAATTGTTTTTGTTTTCCAAGCTCAAAAACAGAACACAACAAACTTGTTATTCAGAACAAATACCACAGAGTTGAAAAGAAGAAAATGCCTTTTGGAGTAGAGTCTGTTATACAAGGCCTTGAAAATGAAGGTGCGGGCCTTTGAAATCCACATTGCAATATTTCGGGATTTGGATAAAAGATATGTAGATTCTGAAAACAAAGAAAGCCTATACTCAAAATACTAATTCTTATATGACCTTAAGTATACAGTAGAGTCTTGCTTATCCAACATTTTTGCTTATCCAACAGAACGTTGGATAAGCGAAAATGTTGGATAATAAGGAGGGATTAATGAAAAGCCTATTAAATGTCAAATTGTGTTATAATTTTACAAACTAAGCACCAAAACATTATGTTTTACTACAAATTGACAGAAAAAGCAGTCCAATACACTGTAATGTTATGTAGTAATCACTGTATTTACAAATTTAGCACCAACACAACACAATGTATTGAAACAGCTGTGGGTCTGGGCTTGTGCCACACTGCGTTGGATAATACAGAATATTGGATGAGCAAAGGTTGGATACGCGAGACTCTAATGTACTATATATCAGTGGTTCCCAACCTTTTTTGACCAAGGACCACTTGACCAGGGACCGCTCTCCAACATTAGTACCAAAAGAGTTACGAATCAGTTTTTGGTCAACTTTAGATTCAGTTTGGTTATTTGGGGTGCTGATTCAGAAAACTGCATTGGCTAGACCACATCAGTTCTAGTTTCTGATACAGAACATATGCCATCTAGTAGTCACCATCTGCTCACCCATAGAAAACCATATTTAATAAGCCTTGGTACTATAAGAGGGTTTTGCGAGACCAGTTGCTTTCATTGCAACGGTGTAGTAACATTGAGGCCACAGACCATATTTTAGTTCTTGTGGACCACTGGTGGTCCACAGGCTACAGGTTGGGAACCACTGCTGTGTATAAATTGACATGCATTGTATATAAACTATAGTGTGAAAGTATGCATAATTTTGTCACTTTTTATGGATTGAGGAATTTGAGATGGGGAAAAAAAATTATTTGGACTCCCATCCCCAGCATCCTCTGTCACTTCAGTATCTGTGCTGTTTGCAGGATGCTAAAAATGAATTCCAAAAGAGCAAGTTTCCTAAGCCTTGAACCTGAAAGTAGGGGAGACATATGAAGGAAGCATTTTTAGAAAATATGCTGCAGTAAGGATTAGTTTCCTGTATCACACCAACCATAGCTTATTCTCCTAACATATGTGTTTGTAAAACTCCAGACAACCATCAGATTAATGGAGTAAAAGAGCTTCTTGCTGTAGGAAGAAATTGTCTCTATAATCAGTATGTTTGGTGGGATAAGCAGGGTTTTTTTTGACAGATGTGGAATTTTTAAGCAGTTGCTGCTTAAAGCTGTGCAACATATAAATGGCTTAACTGATAGTGTGGGAGAAACGATTGCTTTGTTCCCTTTCAGTGAAAGATTAAATGATTTCTGAACTCAGCACATGAAATCTATGCGAGGAAGACACTTGGGAATCAAAGTATTATTCTTGTGGCTTTTAGGACTTGAAACAACTCTCTGAATTTAAAAAAGTGCATTTTATGTGAAGGTTCTGCACATGAGGAACTCTCACTTCCTCTCAGGGGCAGAGTTCTGCCCCTGCTGTATTTGTAGATTGCATACTCTGCGCAAAAGTATGGTTCAGGTAAAAGATTGTAGAATGCTACAATCTTTTTCAGAACCCTTCCTGATCACTGCATGGAAGGTACTGAAAATATTTCATTTTGTTTTGCTCCTCTTGTTAATGAAAGATGTAAATACTTGAAAAATAAATGAATTCATTTCCCAAGCATCCTGTGGATCTGGATCTCTGGCACAACAGTCATATCAGATTGCCTGGGCCTTGCACCATGCTGCTCAAAGTGATGGTTCATGGACTAGTGTCACTCCATAGGCCATCAATTACTGTTCTAAGAAGATTTCCAGGAAAGAAGGAAGCAGTTGTAGCTGATGGATACAAATATGGAACAGTACAACTCCTGTATCCATGGGACCAGTGTTTTATTCATCCTTGTCTGCCTAAATATGTTCTCTACACATTTTGGAGGCCTTCCCTTATAGTATTATTGTGCCTGATTTCCTTTGTTTCAATATGCTTTGCTATTGTCTATGGTTCCATGTATCCATGAGAAGTTTAGGAACATATCCCCTCTCAATATTGGGTCGTATTGTACAGATCTCAGAGAAAAAAAGGAACATTCATCCATATCTAATGGCCTAAGAAGCACTGGTCTAGAATTCTTAATTTCTTTGGCCAGGTCAAAGATGCTAAGTGGTCTCTCCATTACTCCTCAGCCTGCATTGGAGGGATAGAAGGGCAAAAGAGTGATGTAAAGCATTGCTTCTCAGGCTGTTTCATGTAGGGTACCAGAAATTAGTTTTCCAGATTGCCAAGGGCCCACACTAAATTTGTGCCCATTAAATACCATTGTTTCTTTCTTTCCTGCACAGACCAACAGCCAAAGACTCAGGGACCGGCACCAGTCCAATGACCATCAGTTTATCATTGGTGTCCAGCTTGGTTACAAGTTGGTTACAAATAAAAGTTACACTTTTCCAGTAATGAACATATACTTGAAACTGCATTACAATTGTAATTTAATGAGTGGTAAATTCAATCCTATAGTGATCTGGCTGTAATTTATAGTAACTGTTATTCTTACATTGAGTTGATATCTCTAAATGGTGGAGAATGAACATCATATGCCTTTGGTGCTGCCTTGGGCTTAGGCTGGATCTACACTGTCCTGTTTATTTACAGTGTTTGTATTCCGTCCTTCTCTCCTCGAAGGGGACTCAGAGTGGATCAAAGAACGCATATACAGCAAACATTCAATGTACACTGACAAGACAGATAACTATACATGCATAGAGGTATATGTATAGGCTTTCCCATCTTCGGCATCTTGGAGGCTGTGCTCGGTTCCAGCCACTGGGGGGGGGGTCGCTTTACTTTTTCCTGCGCAAGAGCTTTGTTCATAAACTTCCTACTTGATCAAATCACCTGCATTTTTCTGGCTTCTTCTTATGGGTGCCTTGAATACCCCCACTTAAGCAGTATCTACTTATTTACTCCTGTTGCTTTTTTCAAAACTTCTAGGTAGGCAGAAGCTGGGCTAAAGACCAGGAACTCACCTTACTCTGGGCTTCAAACTGTGATTAAAAGCAAATGAATCATATAATAAAAGAGTTGGAAGAGACCACATGGCCCATCTAGTCCAACTCCCTGCCATGCAGGAAAAGCACAATCAAAGCACCCCAACAGATGGCCATCCAGCCTCTGTTTAAAAGCCTCTATTACCTATATTTAACAGTGTCAATTACGCAATCGAACAATCACTCCGCAGTTTGTATTCTATTCTATTTCATTTATTCCAGTATCTACAGCATTGCCACTACAAAAGCAGGGACTATATATTGTATTATTTCATAAATACAGTACAAGTTGAGTATCACTCGTCTGAAATGATTGGGATGAGATTTTTTTAAAAAAAAAATTGAAATGCATGTATTTGCATATACTTAAATAATGAGATATGTTGGTGATGGGGCCCTAGTCTAAATGTAAATTTTATAACCTGAAGGTAATTCTATGAACAATATTTTAAATAATTATGTACATGAAACAAAGTGTGTGTACATTGTCATATTAGACAGCAAAGGTTTCACTATCTTAGCTACCCGTGTGACCAATTTTGAAGGATTTCAGAGTTTTGGGTAAGGGGTGCTCAAACTTTACTTCATTGCAAACATTATTGGTTCAAGTGTCCAATAGATAAATGGGTTAGTGAGGTCTTTGGAAATGTAGGAATGGGTGCAGGGAAAATAGATTAATTACAGTGGGGGGAATAGTGTTCAATGACATGGGTATTGGGAGTATTGTCACCTGGTTGGGAAGAAGTTCATTTCATGAGTATGGCACTCTGTTTTTGAGGACCAGAGAGCCCTCATTCTTTCACTACTACAAGGCCATTGTTTACCACCCTATAGTAGTCATCCCCCAAAATAACAATTTTTTATATGCATCTCTAACTCCTCCCCCAAAATAACTACTGTTTATATGTATCTCTAAGTCAAGCTCATGTATAAATCGAGGGCAGGTTTTGGGGCCAAAATATAGATTTTGATACATCAAGGGTCATTTTGCAGAGAGGAGAAAGCACTAATGCCAACTCTCAGGACCAGCCAGGCATTCAAAAAATCCAGAAATGCTACTGCAGTGGAGATAGTAAAGGGAGTTGTGCTTTTAAAGGGTTTTCTCAGAATGGTTTAACTTCTAGCTGTTTACCCTGTATTCAGAATAGGTGATTGATCCCTTTTTGGTAAGAGTTTAGGCACAATGCTTACATGGACTCGTGAATTTTTGATTTTTGACTACAATACTTATATTGACTTGTGGATTTTTTATTTTTTACTACAATTTCTACTCCAAAATTTTGTTAAATGTTTCAACAATGTAATTATATGCATGTTTACTCAGGTTTGATTGCCCTTAGTTTCAACAGACTGTCAATTAACTGTCGAGCAAGTGTAAGGAAAATGGTACTGGAATCTGTCTCAGAAAGGACCAAGCATGTGATAAAATTTCTCCCATACCCATAAGGATCATTGGGGGAGGGGGAGAGATGTAAATTTGACAAGGAGTGAGGTCCTCTGGAGGGTCAATGCTGCTCACTAACCTGTGATAGTTGCCCATCCTTGGTATATAGGAATGCAACCTAATACTGTTCAATATCTATAATAGTAGTCACAAGTCCTTTAAAATTTACTTGTGCTCCTTTGATTGCTAAAAGGCAAAAAAATTGTGTTTTCACAGCCAAACCAATTAGCGTTCTTATTCTGAGCAAGACCTTTTCAAGAACATGGGAGTTTTAGACTGCTTGGAGTGTCTAATTTAAGAAGGTAGCAAATGGATTTTGAGTTGCTAAGAGAATAGATAAAAGCAACCATTTACCAAATGCACATAATGACAAGAGAAGCTGGTTGCTGTAACCCTTGCATCTGTACCCAGCAGGAAATACTTTTTATGCTGAGAGAAAGTTGATCTGTTCTTCTCTCTTCTTAGAGTACCAGTGCTTCACATAAGTAGCTAATAGCAGTATTTGCAAGCAGGAGGATTAACCAGTTTTTTACAGGCCAGAAAATTTATGGGAAAGCTGAACTTGTGTGTAATAAATGCATGTTGTATTTGTTTCAGATTTTCAACCAGCATAATGTTGGCACTCCAAATCTGGAGCAAGTATTGTACAGCATGGCGCAAGCAGAAAGCAGTCTTGACCATGACCTACCACTGTTACTCCTGCCACCTTACTGGGCAAAAACCGTTGTCGGCCTCCTATCTGTTGTCTGCTTTGTGAACAGCTATGATGGTGATTTTGTCTTTGATGACTCAGAAGCTATCATCAATAATAAGGTTAGTGACTTTTTCTTATAGATCTTTGCTACTTAGTCAACTGTGATGAGTAAGAATTTATTCTAGGAACCAGACAGAAAAAGTTTTGTTAATTAACAAAAGTAATTGACCAGGAGTCCTTTAGTCTAAGGCTGGATCTACATTGCCCTATATCCCAGGATCTGACCCCAGGTTTTTTGCTTAGAACTGAATTATATGAGTCTACACTGCCAGAGAATCTGGGAGGAGAAGATAATCTGGAATGAGATCCTGGGGTATAGCGCAGTGTAGATCCACCAAACTCTGACACAGTTGACTCCCATAGTCTTCATTTTTAAATATTTGCTTTTTTAAAAAAACTAAAATAGTGTGGAAAGTAGAGAGCAGGTGGGAAGCCACACTGAGGTTTCTGGAGATGCATGCAGCTTGGGAGTGGCACTGCACAGTCTCCAAGTTTGATTTTTACCCTGGGCCCTAGCAAACTGAAATTGCAGAAATGCAACTTGTCCTTTTCTTTGTCAACTTAACATCTGAACATCTTTTGATTTCTACCAATTTGATCCCTAGTACCTGAGGACTCTTGGATGTCTATATTGCCATTTGTTTCCCTGGAAGGTAATACAGAGGAGACTTGATACAAAACGTTGCAGTACAGCTTGCTCCTTTTCGCGGTGCCTGTCAATAAGTTATTTCCTTTTCATAGGGTATTCTGTTCCAATGTCTGCCAGTCACCTATTGCTATTCCATCCCTGTCAGTTTTACTCCCACTAAGCATCTCCTTCAGACATTTGTATCCTTCCATACATACATTGAATTCTTTTTTTATGATTTTTTTTGGTTGGAAGGGAGAATTCTTCAAAGACTGGAGGTTTCCTCAGCTCTGTTGATCCCTCACTCTTGGGGATCATTCCCTTTTGGCCCTGTAAGGAGAAGGATTTTCTCAGTGAGTTTCTGCTTAGTATATAGCAGAGATAGGAAATGAGTACCCTCCAGATGTTGTTGGATTTCAATTCCCATCAGCCCTAGTCAAAATGATCAATGGGATGGGATGATGGCAATTATATTTCACAAACTCTGAATATCCAGAACTTCCCTGTGTAGGAGTAAAGTGCTGTGTGTGGCAATTAATGGGTAATGGCTGATTCAGCATTTGGAAATTGCTCCTTAATGCTACAGTCAACAAGTTTTAATTATATATACATGAACCAGAAATGTAATTGAGATACTAAATGCAGCTGCATCATAGTTTTATATAACAGCATTATGCTTGCGGTTCTCTACTGCCAGAAGAAATGAACAATTTAAAAAAAAATACTGATTTGAAACTGTGCAGTCTTGCTTTGAAATTCACTTCATCATTTCATTTAGTGAATATAACAAATCAAGGTCTAAGACTATTCATTTATGATTTAAAAAGTATACCCACATAGGATGGTGTAACCTACTTCAAAATATCAGTTCGGTTTGGCAACTGCTTACTGAACTTTTGCCTGTTTTTCAGAATGAGAACTGAAATGAAGAGTTAATTGCCCAAATTCAGTAGTTAGTTCCAATCAAAGTACACTAGTGTCTTGCTTATCCAACATAAAGAGTCCAGCAGAACATTGGATAAGTGAAAATGTTGTATAATAAGGAGGGATTAAGGAAAAGCCTATTAAACATCAAATTACGTTATGATTTTACAAATTAAACTCCAAAACATCATGTTTTACAACAAATCGACAGAAAAAGCAGTTTAAAACATGGTAACATTATGTAGTATATACTGTATTTATGAATTTAGCACCGAAACATTGCAATGTATTGAAACCGCTGTGGATCCAGGTGGGAGACAGACTGCATTGGCTAATACAAATCATTGAATGAGTGAAGGTTGGATAAGTGAGATTTTACTGTATCCATGTGTTAAGTGGAGGAATAGTTACAAATAGGATTTCCAATGTGTTCATTTTGAAAGATCTGGACAGATGTCTATCTCCTAACTCAGGCCTTCCCAAACTCTAGTCCTCCAGATGTTTTGAACTTGAGTTCCTAGAATATCTGGCTATTGGCCAGAATGGCTGAAGCTGCCATGAGTGAAAGTCCAAAATTCCTGTACAACCAGAGTTTGGAAGTCATGGTCTTGGCTATTCTGCCTCTTAGAGCAGTTGTAACAATATAAAGTAATAAACCCCCTAAACTCACTTACTATCCTTTGATGAATTATAATAAACATATACATGCATTTCTGCATGTTTAGTCTCCTGTGGGAGATATCAGCTCCAGATTATATTGTTCCCAGTCCTTGTTCCTAATGATTCAACAGCAAACTGATTTTTTTCCTATTTTAGTCAACCTTTTGCTCTTTCTGTATTTGTTGATTTTTCTAGTTTTCCACTTTTTATATGAAACACCTTGTTCAATTTATCTGTTTTTCCTCTTCAAAAATGTACTAAAGTTCTGGATTTTTGTGCATTGGAAAATTGAGGGTTCAGTCTTTTTTATTTTTGAATCGCATTTAACATATAAGCACCTTGAGTCCCATATTGGGAGAAGGAGAGTATACTAAAAAAAAACAAGCAAGAAAACAAACATTCCTCTTAAAAGTAAGCAGCATCTCTCCTCTTCCATTGTCATGGAAATACTGGGTTGGATTTAAACTTCATCATGCTAAAAGAAGACCCACTGAACTCAGTGAGACTTGAGTTAAATATCCCATTGTCCTTGGCCAGTCTTCTCTAATTATTCTCCTTTTTCTTTCCTAATAGCCACTTTAAAGCTATTTTTTTTGAAAAATATAAAACTATTGGGTTGCCACTAGACACAGAAACAGCTGTTCCGAAATGAATCTTAGTCTCCTTCTATTGTCAACCCAACATGCAACCTATCTGATCCTTTTTCTCTAGGATATCCAGTAGAAGAGGCAATTTTATAGATCAGTGGTTCCCAACCTGTGGTCGTCCACAAGAATGAAAATATGGTCTGCAGCCTTACTATTACTACACTGTTTCCTTGAAACCATACGGCAAGGAGAGCAACTGGTCTCGTGAAACCCTCTTATAGTGCTGAGGCAACAAGGATGTCAGGAGGGGAGAGGCTGACTACCCACAAAAGATTACTACTACCACATCAGCTCTAGATTATTAAATATGGTTTTCTGTGGGCAAGCAGACAGCAACTACTGGATGGCGTATGTTCAGTATCAGAAACTAGAGCCGATGTGGTCTATCCAATGCAGTTTTCTGAATCAGCACCCCAAATAACCAAATCAAATCTAAAGTTGACCAAAAACTGATTTGTAACCCTTTTGGTACTAAATGTTGGAAAGTGGTCCCTGGTCAAAGTGGTCCCTGGTCAAAAAAAGGTTGGAAACCACTGTTATAGATAGACATTTGTTTATAACTTGGCCATCATTGGGTATCACAGTGTGATCATTTTATGTAAGTTTTGCTCTTCCCTTTTTCTCTACAGTTGTGATGAAAGATACTTTTTGCTGGCTCCATGCCTTTTGCAGCACAGAACAACCCTCTTACTGGATTTTATTGATGTTCAAGACACTTTTAGAGATGTATTCTTGTCATTACAACCAGCTCCATGCTTTGTCTTGTTTTAAAGCCATTTATAGCAGTGATCCATCTTTTGTGTGATTTAGGAAGACAAACATTTGAACAAAGAAAGCAGCTGAGGCAGACTGTCTCTTACATGTGTTAATGAACACAATGAACTTTCCTTGAAATGATAACACCAAATGATGGAGAAAAAACCCTCTGTTCAGAATCAAACACTGCAGAGATTCTAAGCCAACAGAGGAATACTGTATATACACGATTTCCCTAGTGATTATATGCAGTTTGCAGTAGAGAAGGGAAACATATTTTTCACTTGGTATAGTCTTGTAAAATGAAGTATATTTTTTATAAGAAAGCTTTCCTCCTGCAAATGCCCTAATGACTTGTTTACTTTGAATTAGAGCTGATTCACACAACCAGTTCTTGGGCATATGTTCCAACTGTTGTGATAATATATAAAAACTGTCAGCCCAGATTGAATGAGAAGGTGATACAGCTGTCAGCTTTGTGCTCCACACAGAACCATATGTCATTTTATTGTCTCACTGTAACAGCTTCTGACAACTGATTTTGAGCCATGTTCACTCAAAAAAATATATACTGCCGAGTTCAGTGGAAACAAAGGCCAACAAATGGAGTTGGTTGTCAACCACTATTTTTTAGTTCCTCCCTTATATATCAGTCATTATAAAATCCAACATCACCTGGATTAAAAAAATAATTTGGGATAAGGTGGAACTATAGACCAGCTCTGTAACATATTCTCATATGGGGCTTGCTTATACCAGAAAATACATGCTCTGCACATGCCCTCTGGTATTTCACTGATGAAAACTGAAATTTATATGGCCAGAGTGTGGATAAGAAGGCAGATGTTAATAATAAGAAAGAACTAGGAGATGCTGCACTAGTTTGCTTTTGCCTAAGGCTACTGGAAGGAGCAGAATCCTGCCCCCCTTTCTCCTCTTCCCCTGCTGAGCTAATAGGGTGCAAATTACCCTTGCACTTTGAAATCAGTTCTGAGATGAAGAAAATAGGAGAAAGAGAAAATGAGACATTTTAGAAGCAGCTGAAAAAGTGGGGTAACAGAGGTTTAATTGAGATTGCCCCTGTTAAACCAATACTTTCAGAGAGGGTATGCTCACATAATAGAGCTTTTTAAAATATAAGTGGCTTCACATGAAGGCCACTGAAATGCTTAGGAAGAATGATAAACTTTCCATCAATAAAAAGTGCTGCTTGTTTGTTTGGATTGTTGCCTAAAGATGGTTCATAGAGGTACAAAGGCTTCCCAGCATTTTCAGAAACTCTCTAATAGCAGAGATTGGAACAACTCTTACGAAATAATTATAACAATAACAATATGAAAAAGCTTAATTGCAAAGACTCTGGCACAAACTAGTAAAGGTGGTCCCAGTGGTGATCGGCACACTGGGTACAGTGCCTAAAGACCTTGGCCTGTACTTAAACACA